GCAGTCGTGGTGGTGGCGGTGGTGGTGGTGGTCGTGGTCGTGATCAAAGCCATGGTAGAAGCAGTGTTGGTAGTGACAGGGCGTAGCAAGGGTAGTGGTGCTCGGCTTCCTCACGGTTTCTATGTCTCCGATCGAATTCCGCATGAGGTCTGTGTCCACTCCACCACCCCCGAGCGATTGGGAGTGCCGCTTGTGCTAGCAGGAGGGATGCAGGCATTGCAGTAGACGACAGAAAGGACCCGTACACACTGAGAAGGGGCACAAACTGTCGCAGTTGGCCAGTCGAGCTTCAGGTGCAGTGCGTGAGTCTGCTGTAGTATGTTTCGAGTCACTGAGGATACCTCGCGTGCTGCAAAAGCTCTTCGGGTATGTCGACAAGCTGCAGCGAGAGGCCGATCCAGTCTCGTGCTTGTCTTTGACCTTTCTTGGGGAATGATTCGACTCTTCATGAACATCTTTCGAAAGTCCTAAATTGCGCACGGCCCCATGCAAGACCTCAGCCCAGTTCCTTGGATGCCGGAGCCCCGAAGCCCAAAGGTTGATGACATCGGTGAGACGTTCAGCGTGAGCATCTCTTTTCTGCAGATCTACCAGGCACTCAAGCATTGAGGTTGTATAACTTCCACGCTTGGCTGGTCTTGGAACCGTCTAGGGGCCGCTTTTGACAAGTCGCGTCCGTACTCATTCAACCACATCTACCAGGTTTGAAACTGCTGCGTGGCACGAAGCCGCCTACTGCTTCACTTGGCAGGAACGAATCTACGATCTGCTGAATCCAGCGCCGGTTCTGCCGCAGGGCCTCGTAGCTGAAAGACTTCCGCGCAGAATCCCCCCCTCAAGTAGTTAAGCTGTTCCAAGGCCATTTTCCTGCGTTGCAAACGGTATTCGGGTCAGCGTGAAGCCCTGTGCATTGCCGGGGCCTCCTAAACATCCCTTTTTACCTGTCAGGTCCTCCACTAGCAGGGTGCACATCTATAAGATTCAATCGACTTGGCCCTGCATACAACCAGCTGAAGCCCCAACAGGAATGAAAACATACAGTACCTCATCTCTGTAACCATGTTCAGCATCCCCAGCAAGGCCTGTTTGTAATCATAATCAATTATGTGCAAGACCGTATCAATTGCACACACCTCAAAATTCAATCATTGGGACGCATTGAAGCACGTAGACGTGTACTATTTGTGTGTATTTAGTCTGCTGGAACCCAGCTTCATCTACGATAGCTGCAAATCCGAATTATTGCCCTACAACAACCTTGATGATGTGGCGGAAACAGCACGCCTGCCCAGTGCCATCTTTGCAATCATCCATAATTTGGTCTAGTAACAACATGCAACACAGGCAGCAATCCACTCGCAGCCTACCAGAACTAGTCTCGGAATCTCGGTTCTGGGTTCCTGGGATCGAGTAGCACGCGTTTGGATGAAATCGGGCCTGAAAGCGGTTTTTTGTTTCTTTAATGCGACGACGACGAGCAAGACGACGAATGCTCTGGAGATGGCAATGGCTTTGTGGCGCCATGCGATGCTATCTGGTGTACGAGCTGGGGTTTAGGGTGGGGTAACGCATACAAGCGGTATCCCAAACCCTGGCGTATCTCAGGCTTCGGTCAGGCCGAGGACAGCGGCTTACGGTTACGCTGGGATGCAGCGAGGGAGCACTTCTATGTGGAGAACCTCTTCGTGCCGCTTGGCGGCCCTGCGTTGGGATTTCGCAGTTTGGGACGGGTCCCCCGAATGATTGTAGATTGTGATGTCACCTGTTCATTCGACACAATGTTGCGACGACAGGGGCCTACCAAGCATGCTGCCTGACGCAGGATGAACACAGGAAGCTTTAAGACGCACTCATCGCTACTTCGTGGGAAGACCAATGCCTTGCCTTCTCTCGACACGCTGAATCAGGTACCAGTGCACCTCGGCGGAAGATGCGCTGAAGTTCTACAACGCCGGAGTCCAGCGTGCCCCGGTCGCCCTTGAGATTCGGATTCCGAGTCGGGGGTTTCGGAGTAAACACACGGTACCGACAGGTCTTGCGGATCCTTGTTATTGCAACCGAAGCAGTGCACGATGCTAGCTTTTTTGAGGCTCTCCAGCTTCTGACCGTTCGACATGCTTCATGAGGGGTGTTAGTTGACATTCAGGCACTGATGCAAAGTACCTCTTCGTCAAGGGTGTAGCAGCAGCCTCTTCCTCCAGATCAGTGTTCTGTGCGTGAGGTGGGGGTCGCTACTACAAAGTTACTGATGCCTCAGGCTTCAGATGGTGCTCGCGTTGACAGGCTTGGTTAGTTATGGGTTGGGCACTGAGTAGGAGAAACCTTCCAGGGTCCTAGCATCGCCGAATCTGAAGCTGACTTCTGCCACAAGTAGGCTTGTTAGGCTTTGTTTGCGGGTTTTCCGAGGCAAGCAGATGGCTTCGACCGCCATGAACATTGCTTCGTCGCGGTCACACACAGTGCCGCCTGGCCTGATCCGAACTGAAAGTTAGAACCAGAATAATAGACCAGCAGAGTCTGATGTTGGACGGTCTTGTCTTGAACCTGCGCGAGGCTTTGCACAGGGTGCTTGAAGCTTTAGGATTTTGGGAAGTGCGTCATCGGTGCATCCTATCATCACCCAGCATTACCCACTGACCTTCAGATCGATCCTGGGCCTTGGGGGTTTGATGAATCAAAACACGCCGCGGATTCCGTAGTAAGGCTCATGCTGACGCTTCGTCGACGGCCACTCGTCGTAGAAACCCGAGGCTCTTGAGCAGCTTCACTGCTGCGCTTGCTGCCGGCAGTCGAAGCAATAGGAAGATGGGCATGTTCCTACTGCAGCAGGGATCCCTGTATGCCGGGTACAGCGTGGACGTTGGCTGCATCCAAGACTCTCGCATTGTCTTACCTTCCCAGGTCTGTCCTTGCAGAAACGAGCGACCTGGGCTCAGGCAAGGACCTTCAAGATGCAATTCTATGCCTATGCTATGCAACTATGTAATGGATCACAGTGTATGAACGCGGGAGTCTGTCCGAGGGCTAGCGGCTAACTACCTGCAGTTTGCAGGATTCCATGAAATGCCGTCGGTTCCAAGCGACTGCAGTCTCGACAGTAATCCGAAAAAAGGATGCTACTGCACGGGTACACCCGGAAGGCTCCAAACTGCCTCAAGTCTGAAATTGAAGATATGTGAAGGTGAGGCCGTGCGGGAGGTGATGTCGCACCTGGCGCTGGTGGACTTGGCAGGTGGCGAGTGCCGGGCCGTTACGTTCGGGTCATTTTCGGGTTTTTTGGACGTCTAGAACAAAGGCTAAGGCTAAGGGGCTTTAGATCTGCAGCCCAGCGAGGCAGAAACCTGAAGCCAGCTTTTGCGCACCACCCGCAGACAGGTACTCCCGTAGCCGAGCAGCTGTGCTTGGTGTCACGCATTTGTTTCCAGAACCGAGCCTCTGTCACACATCCTGCAAGGCTCTGAGAAAGCCGCCGCAGCCAACGAGGGCAACCCGGAGCGCTTCAAGGCATTACTGTTGTCTGGGTGCGGAAGGATGGGTGGTGGTGGTCGCATGGTGATCAGACGTAGCTTGACGATGATGGGTGTGGTGAAACTAAACGGGGGAGTGGAGAAGATAATGTTCTACCCACAACAACATCTTCTGACAGTGACATTGTTGCTGTGTTACAATACCTGCATCAGCTTGCTCGCCCGCCGCCCGCATTCAGGAGGCGGTGAACATCAACCAGTCTCTGTTTGTGCTCCGGCGTGTGATCACCGCCCTCAGCCGCCGGGACAGCAGCCACGAAGAGGACACGCGGCCTGGCGAATTCAGCTCCGGCTTTGGGAAATTTTGAGGCGTCAGGGTGCCTGTTCAGGGGGCCGCGGTCGTGCGGTATTTCTGGTTCATCGGCGGACGGATTGTAGCCACGAAGCAGCTTGCGAGTTTGAGTGCACACGGCAGTCTTCGGTTCGGAGGCTGCAACAAGTCGCAGTGCCTGATAGGTGCTTGCTTTTGAAGCTCAGTCGTGCACGATGCGGCCACAGAGCAGCTTTTTGAGGGTTTCGGTTCCGGAGGCCGGATTTGAAGCGCTGCTCCAAGTCTAAGGCACATACCATATCGCGAATCGAAGCTGTTGCTGGGCAGGAAGTTTGTGCAGGTATTTTGGGCAGTCACGTAAGTTCAATGCTGGCCTCCAGAAGAAGGTCGGGATTCTAGAAGCTCTAATCTGTAAAACGGGTCTCCTTCGAGACGTTAAAGTCCCGGCTACTCGTGTGTCCTTCATTCTGTGAAGAGTGTTCATTAAACACGGGTGCTCTGCTAATGGGGTGGCACCGTTTTTTAGGGTCTGACACGGGTTTTGCGGAATGCTGTGCCATGGGGTGTGAGGCACTGGGATGTCAGAGTGTTCCGGCCCACCATACGTTTTGCATGTAGGCGCTGTGCTCCGCGCGGTGGGGAGGCGGTTCCAGTACGGTTCGAAAGTCTGTAAGCCAAGCCTGCGAACCAACGCCATGGCCAAGGACTTCATTGCTGCAGCACGCTATTGGTGGTAAAGGCCTCCAAAAGAGCTCAAGCAGCTTCCTCCCCGTGAGAATCTCGATAAGATGATGTGAATGTGATCTTGCTGTCATGACTATCATAAGTGAATCATAAGCTCCTCCCATTCCTCTTCCCGCTCTTTCTCTTGCTCCTGGTTGTCCTCTGCCTCACCGTCACCACCATCATCAACATCACCATCGCCACCACTGCCGCCACCACCACCACCACCACCACGACGACCACCACCACCACCACCACCACCACCACCACCACCACGACCACCACGACCACCACCACCACCGCCTCCACCACCATGAGCAAGAACAGAAACAAAGAACAAG